AATAGCTCAAAGTCTCAAGAAAATCCCAGGAGGCCCCCCCTTGGTTTTTTTTTTTTTTTTTTTTTTTTTTTTTTTTTTGGCCACACCTCACGGCTCATGGGATTTTAGTTCCCCGACCAGGGATTGAACCTGGGGCCTCGACAGTGAGAGCACCAAGTCCTAACCACTGGACCACCAAGGAATTCCCCCCATGGTTTTCTTAAGAAGCCAAATGAGTGGGTGAAACGGAATCCAAGCCTCAGGACTCCTAGTTCAGTGCCCCTTTTCCACCCAATCTTCCCTGTTGTCTATGACTCAAGATCAAGCCGCCTCATGCCTGTCCTGAGGAGAATACTGCCCTCGAGTGATGGGCCCCTCAGGTTCCAGGTCAGGGATGAACATGTCTCCTGAAGGCTAGTCTTGTGTAGATCTCTCATTGCTGGGGAGGCAACGGAGGGGCTCCGCCCTCAGCAGATGCTAGACTGAGTGTCGTTCAGTGCCTTTCCCAGCTCTGAGGGACACTTCTGAGCTGCCCCTTGTTTATCCATACCTCTGACTGCGGCTGTCCTAAATGGGAAACTACTTGTTCAGTCACTTGTTGAGCCTGACAGAATGTTCTGAGCCCTGGAACACAGAGAATCAAAGACAGGCCCACTGTCCACAGGGGGTTCAAGAGGGGAGATGAGTAGGCATACTAAAGGAAGGAGGGGGACAGGGCCTTCAGAGAAAGCCCCTAGGCCCTGAGTTCACAGAGGGAGCACACGCTCCACCTGAGGCAGCCAGGAGGTGGGCTGGATGAGGGCTTCCTCAGGTGGCCTTGCTGGAGCAGGAAGATGGGGGTGGCCCTTCCAGCAGAAGTGCAAGCTCAAAGCAGGAAAGCGTCAATATTCCTATTTTGTTTGTTAGCTGGGCATCAGCTGGATAACGTTTGGCTGCAGCCCAGGGGCCCTGACGAGGAAAAGGGGAACATATCCAAACAAAGCTGGGGCGGGGTCACCTGTGGATGGAGGCCTTGACGGTAGCTGGAGTAGGAATTCCAACTTCATTCTGTGGCTGCAGGGAGCCCGGGAGGTTTCTGACGGAAAAGTGCATGGTGGGTTGCAGTCTCCATTCCTCAGGACACGTGTTTTCCCGGGCATCTTCTGATCAGAGAGAGGACAATGTCCCCCTAGGGTCCATGTCCCCCTCGTTAGACTGTTCAGGGCGACCCAAGCCTGGGCCATACTCCGGAGCCTGCAGGCTCACCCCACATCCCAGTCCCGAGCTCCAAGCACATTCCAGAGTGGAGCTGAACGCCCTCAGTCGGCGTGGGGCCTCATGAAGCTGTGGTGTGAGTGGCCTTGGCGATATCTGCTCCCGTGGACACCATTTCCGGTATTGCCTCAGAGGAAACAGCCCGGGGTCGGGGAAGGGCGTGCTCAGGCCCAAGACACCCACAAAACCTGTGAAGTCTCACTCTGGGCAGAAACAGCTCTGAAATGTCAGGCAGGTAGGGTTGGCTCAGTTTCCTGGGAGGGGAGGTCTGGGGCCTGGCAGAGCAGAGGGGCTGATGCCTTCAGCAGAACACCATATGGCCCTCAGCCGCCTTTGCCAGCTGCCCACCCAAGCCAGGCTATGCCCCCCAGCATCGCCCCCCGTCAGAATCTGCCCCAGAGGGCACCCTTTACATGCGTTATCCCATCAACACTCACATGTACCCCGGAGGCTGGCATAACGTGCCCCCATTTCACAGAAGAGGAAACGAGGCTCGGAGACAGTCGCTGCCGCCTGGGTCTCAGATCCGGATCCAGTCGGTGTGCTCATTCCGTGCCCTCAGGCTCCCAAATGCTCTCACGGCTCCCGCACCACCAACCACCAGAGCCAGCAGGGGGCTCATGGCACCGAAGAGCTGACAGGCAGGGACTGTTGCTTCCCAACCCAGGGCAGATTCAAAGCAGCACCTTAGCAGGGGAGCAGACAGGCTCCCAACAGCAGTGGAGGGGGATGGCATACAGCCAGGCGGCGGGAAGGACATACAAAAATATAGATTAAAGAAAGATGGGGCTTCCCTGGTGGCGCAGTGGTTGGGAGTCTGCCTGCCGATGCAGGGGACACGGGTTCGTGCCCCGGTC